CAATGCATTCCTATGGGAAAACGTACCTTGTAAGACAAGAATATCTTCATCTTGCAGGGGATCAAAAAACTCGCAAGACGCTTTCGTCTTGTGAGTTTTTTGTTTGAGGCATTTGTCTTGCGAGGTACCACTATACATAAAATCATCTCCTACAATTAAGCAAAACCAGTGTTCAGCCCTGAACTTGGTAACATGTTGATCTGTGCCTCCCACTATCCTCCAGCAAAGACAACCACTGGCCATAGTGGTTGGGAGAAAATGTAGTCCAAAAAAGCATCTTTTCCAGTAACTAATTAAGTGTACAGTGAACAGCAGAATCCGTTGGCCTCCTGGGATGACTACTCTTATGTTTTCAGCTACCTTGAATTAGAAGAAACAATGCAGGAGATTCAGCTATGAGAAGAGGAATCAAAGTTATGTTAAACTATCTGAAAGAGAAGACTAGTCTGAAAATTACAAAGCAATTTTAATTACTGTTGAAGCACACCAGAAGCAGTACACATACAAAAAAGGACAAACTGACAAACCAACGGAGTAAGACATTACGATATTTAGAGGATTATTCACTGTACAAGTTGAACATCTGCTGATTTATTTGTGACAGTTCCCTCAAACTGAAGACAGCCCTACTATGGTACTGAAAGAAGGGTTAAGACCTGAAAGGCAAACTACATGATTCCTATGGCTGAATAATAAGATCTTAAAGCTACGGTCCCAAGAACCCTGCAGTAATAAGCATAAAGAAAAACAAAAAAAGACAGCAAAAGCTTCTTGAGCTAAATGCCAGCAAAACATTTTATTAAATGTACTATGAGGTCCTATATATGCCATGCACTAGATTCATTCAAGTAGTTCTGCATGAAACCAAACCTTTTGAAAATAGTTCAGAGTGACTTTGCAATGTAACACACAGTTTGACATTAGGAAAGTCAAAGAAAGAGCGAGCTCCAGAATTCCATAGCTAAAAGCAAAGTTTACAAACTTTTTAGGTCCTACCCTGCAACTGAAGATGCAGATACTGTTTTTAAATCAATACTGCTTTCAAATTATATGTGATGCCCTACGTGATGTATATTTTAGTCCAATTTTCTACAAAACATAGTCAAGAATTGGTCTGCACGTTCTTTCAGCTGGTATAGCAGGCTTTCTAACAGATCAGAGTTGAATGCTAAAATAACCCTCTCCTGTTGTTATACAAATTTGCACAGCCTTTCAGTCACATTTTGTTCAGTTTTATGGTCTTGTTTTTAGTAGTACTTTAGTATCGCTCTTTTAATACAGCTCAGTAGTTTGAAATTTCTCACTCAGTAATTATATGCATTTAAGTAATATTATAAGGAACTAGAGAAACAAATATCTTGTTGGGGTGTAAGCAAATATCTCATTTGGAGTGAGATCATCCAAATTAATCTTGCTCAGGATGAGACGTGGGCTATTTGTATTCATATCTCTGGGGATCCAAATACGAATAGCAGTACCACAGGGGCCACGGAGGTCCATTCCCTCCCCTCAGAATGTGCCACGGAGGTCCATTCCCTTCCCTCAGAACTAGCCAGTCCACTTACCATTCACAGCTTGGCTCCATTGTCCTTGTCTTTGCACCAATCGCGGAAGGAGCCCAGCCAGCTCTTCCTCGCACAATCCCACCTCCGTGCCACAGTGGTTGGCTACACGGAGAGGCAGGGAAGAGCTGACTGGGATCCTTCCATGATTGGTATGACGACAACGACAGAACCGAGCTCCTTGCTGCAAACAGTGAGCAGACCAGCCAGTTCTGGGGGAAGGGAATGGGCCTCTGTGGTACCTATGGTGCTGCTATTCGTATCCTATGAGGCAGGAATACAAATAGCTCAAGTCTATTCAGGATGTGTAAATATAAACCACATATTACTCCTACTTGGCTCTTCATAACTTAAATCAATACTCTGTAATTCTTCCAGGCTTTGCTATGGGATTACTCCCTTATAAAGCAAAGAATTCAGAACAATCTCACACAAAGTTTTTGCAAACAGGAGACATGTTTGCAAGGAAAACAATTTGCCTGATCATCTCCAAAGCAAGCAAAAGCAGCACTCTAGGAGCCACGACCATTTAAGATTAGACGCCCTTAAGACTCTGTAACAGTACAACCCCCTAAGTATTGATAACCTAATTTCTCACAGAAGAAACAAATGTTTGGGATTAGATATCACTACAGGTGAATCGAATAAATAATAGGCTCCACTACTGAAGTTTTGTAGCCTTAAATGCAACAAGTTAAGATGTATGATGTGGGAAGAAACACACTGATTTAAAGAACACTTTAACATATTGAATTACCACCAATTTAAAAACCATCATAGAAACACCAACTTCAAGTCATCTTACAAAACCTGGTTCCGGTTTACAATGCCAGAATTGTAGAGACTCGTGAAATGGATACTTTATTAAAGTTTAGCCCAATACACCTAACATTCACATCCTATATTTGTTTAAAAGGCTGTACATCAAGTCTTCGTAATCTAACCCAACTCACCTTGGAAAATTCCAGTCATAATGAGAAAGCAAAAACTGCAGGCTAATGTTAAATTGTCAAGGTGCCCTATTTACAACAAAGAAAAATAACTCTTAGTACAAGACACAAGCAGTAACTGTATTTTATGTGTTTCATCACAGTATGTGTTTAACTAGTGTTAGCAATGCTGAACATTCATATGAATATATTTTCTTATGAATCAAGAGCTCTGCACCTCTACTCCTAATCCGCAATATACAAAATGTACATTGGTAGAAAAAAGCACAGCATCCTAAAAATCCAGGCTTAACTCAGCAAGTCTATACACTTCAAATCCAAAACTTCTTAGGGCATGCTTTAAAAAACAACAGCACTTTTTTCAAGAAGAGTTTTTTTAAAAAGCAGTCAAAATGAGCTAATAGAAAATATCCATAACTTTTGTATAACCAGAAAGCAAAAACAGACCAATTCTCAGCAGATTAAAATTAAATACTTTAACGATATTCAAGTGAACTTTTAAAAGAATACATACTAAAAGAGATACAGCTTTAAATGCAAAACAATGGTCTAACCCAATAGAGGAAATCTACTGACAGAAGTACTTACCTCAGTGGAACTGAGGGACAGGAGGTAATCTTTCCCCACGGAAGCTCCCTGTACATCCAGAAAAACTACAGTATTTCAAAAAGGACAGGAATTCTTCCAGTGTTAGTTTTGGGTGGGAATGAGCGCTGCAGGGAGTTGCGCAAGTGATAAGAATATTCCCTCACATAGGCCCTGCAGTGCCACTGGGCTGGGCCATTATTTTTTAACCTGACCAATTGTTGCTACTTATAAAAAGATGTAACCATACAAATGTGAAGTTCTTATCTATGTCTATATTACTGTAATTCTTAATTATGTTCAGTTCTTTACTCATGAAAAGAAACAAATCTGCTTTACTCACAGGTGAAATAATCAGAGAACTCCATATACACCAAGAATTTAAGCTCAGCTGATCCACAAACCAGAGCATATAATACTTGATTTAATGAACACTGGCATGGTATCTATGAAGCACTAATGAAAAAACAGAGGAAGATCTTCCAGCTAAGCACAAAGAATGTCAGCTGTTCTCTACTTCTGGTATTACAAAATATTATTTTAATTTACTACAAAATAATGACATGGGAGTCAAAAATAATTACAATTACGCCATCCAGATAGGTCTGTGAAGTTACGAAGGCATACCCTTCAGACTGGGTTTGCCTACCTGTCTCAAGGCAGGAGTAAGTAACCAGGGGTCCTCTTTTAACATTTTGAACTACCACATTCATAACCCACCCACCCCCAAAGTGGCTGGACCTGATAGAAGCTGTAGTCAAAAACTCCTAGAGAATACCAGATTGCCGACCCATGTCTCAAGATTATTATTCCCTGGGATCCAGAGAAACATATGACACATGAAATGTGTCAGACGTACTTGATTCACTTGCAGAACAGTTACTATACTTGCAAATCAAGAGACACATGCGATACTACAACAATTATTCCAATGCAAGATTATGTCTATTTGGCCTCCCTACATTCTCAGTGTGGCTGATGCAAAATTACACTGTCTAAACATACTCTGCTAAAGCAGGTTCTTCCTTTTTAAAAATTTAATCAATGAATGGTCTTTTTTAATGGGTCTTCTATTTTCATATCTGATGTATGTTTTCCTGGATAATGACTTACACAATAAATGAAACCGAGTGAAGGGAAAATAGGGTGGTGAAACTAGTGTCTGAATACATGTGTGAACTACTGTTCCATATAATTTAATAGCTTAGGGGATGGTTTGTTTTTAAAGGAGAACAAGCAATGGTTCCAAAAGGAGGGAAACGCCTCTCTTTTCAGGCAAGCTTTCCTTTTTTCTTGGGGGGTCCTTTGTATCCTTTGGCTTTTCTTCGCAAGGTCCGCCTGTCTACTACAGGCACCTCTATTTCTGCTTCCTCTGAACTGCTATCTGCTGCTCTCTCAGATGCCGGCTCAGCTGACTCCTCAGACTGCTCATCCATTTGGTTCTTTTGCCCCTCTGAGTGTTGCTGGTATGAAATGTCCTCCAGTTCAACCATCACTAAACTCTGACCCAAAACAACAGGGGCCTCTGGGAAGTCAGATCCTCCCTCTTCACTTTGCTCTTCCAAGGAGGAGGTTGTGTTGGGAGACACATTTTCAGAACTGGCATCTTCTGGAGCCTCGGTTGCAACAGAGTTTGAAAGGCCATTATTGGAAGGTTCTTCCTTTTCTGCTGCCACTGCAGGATCTGCATTTGGAACAAGCGCTCTTTTCTTTTGCAGTGCCTGTTGCTCCTCCTCTGGTGTTGCTTCGGTATCATTCTCAACCTGCAAGGGGGAGATGAATGCTTGTTGGTCATGTGAAGACAAAGCTTTCAGCCTGAAAGGGCCTCTCTTATCTTATACATCCTACAACAGGGGCAGGCAACTTGGTGATCTCCAAAAGTGTTTAAGTTTTAACCTTCACCACTCCCACCAATTGATTATACTGGTAGAAGTTGAAGTTTCAAATGACTGAATGATATATGACAGAAATCTAAAGCGGAGGTACATCCAATGCTGCTAAAACCTGTCTTAGAATATTCAAATGCTCAAGACAGTCCTCTGAAACTGAGCCAAGCAAAAATTAGTCAGGCTTCAGTAATATTGATAGCTGGAGCATTACGGCAAGGGTAATGGACCACCTCGGTCTCAAGCTATGCTCAGCCATCCCACGCTTGCCTACCCTTCTTACCATAGGTAAAGAGACCCAGGGCTTCAACTATTTTTCCCTTCTGTTAAACTCACAGGCTCACACTCTAAGTGAGGATGAAAAGCGAGATGAGGGGTGGGGAAGCATCAGCAAACGCAAATATTTCTAATTAGGGAAATACATATTTTACTGCACCTCAACTGAAGGACTATCCAAATGCCTCTGTGTGCACATGGGTAAGAGAAAGAAAGAACAGGAAAGGATGAGAGGAAACTGCTATCTGTTTGCCTGCCTCTGCGTGTGCATAAACGCCTACTGTACCCCCAGCTTTGCTTGTCATCCCAGCTCCATCGATTGCTGGCTGTTGAGCCATCACTGCACAAGCCACCAGTTGCCACTGCTATTCTATGGCTCTGTAGCCTCTCCAAACTCCATACAAGAAGGGCAGGGCCAGGATAGTTTTTAAACGCATTATAAGTAACTAAAAACTGAAATACCAATAAAGATTTTGTTGTAATGGCCGTATCTGCCAATGATGAGAGACTAGATATTAATATGGTTACGCATTTTCTCCAGCACCATTTGGAAATGAGATTCTAATACATTGAATCAATAGTAACATGTGGTTATGCCACCACAGCTGAACAGAAGTCATACACCACTCTTCTGCAGTTCTCTTACCTTATCTGATATATTGTCATCACTATCCTCTGTGGATTTTACTGAAGAGTCAAGGATTAATGGAACAAGCAGAGTTAAAGTCGCTTCCTCTGAACTTTCCGACTGCAATTTTGAATCGCCATCCATAATTTCACTTGCCGTTTGCCCTTCAGTCACTATTGACACCTTGATGGCATCTTCCATTAGCTCTCCATTGAGTGGCTCTACATCTGTTTCCTAAAATGAGACACAGGTATTAAAATGGTGTACATCCACTGATACACATGTCAAAAAAGGGTTCTACTTAGTGACAGGAGCCTCAAAATACAAACAGTACAGAAAACAAGCAACAAAATACTTTCGCTTCCTGGGCAAAAGTGCCATTCTGACAACCGTTTTCCTGACAAATATGAAAAGAGAGCAAAGAAACCTAAGGAACACGTTCAACCCTCCCCATGGTATAAAACAACGCATGAGTTGGCTTCCTAACTCATTTCCCCAATTTAGATGTTGTTCTTTATTCAAAGCCAGAAAGGAGATGGCAAGGCAAACCTATAGCTTAATCCCTTGTCATGCAGAGAAGAAATGGGGTGCCAGAATCCTGTTTCCCTGAAAATAAGCTCTAATATGATTTTTCAGGATGCTTGTAATATAAGCCCTACCCCCAAAATAAGCCCCAGTTATGTGGAACCCCACCCTCCACCATTGTGCAGCATTGTGCAGCAACCAGAAGAAGATGACATGACTGTATTTGAATAAATGCAGATTGTTGTACAGTGGTGCCTCGACTTACGAACATCTCTACTAACGACCATTTCAAGTTACAACCAGCTCCAGCTGCAGAAATGGGGTGCCAGAATCCTGTTTCCCTGAAAATAAGCTCTAATATGATTTTTCAGGATGCTTGTAATATAAGCCCTACCCCCAAAATAAGCCCCAGTTATGTGGAACCCCGCGCTCCACTATTGTGCAGCAACCAGAAGAAGATGACATGACTGTATTTGAATAAATGCAGATTGTTGTACAGTGGTGCCTCGACTTACGAACATCTCTAACGACCATTTCAAGTTACAACTGCAAAACTTTGCTTCGACTTGCAGCTGGAGCTTCCAGTTACAAACAGAACCTTTTTGGGTATTTTTTACATTTCTGATGGGTCTTGGGGGGTTCACTTGTTTTTTGGATTCCCCCCCATTTCCAATGGGTCTTGGGGGTTTGTTTGCTTTTTGGGTTTTTTTCCCATTTCTGGTGGATCCTGGGTGTTTGCTTCCTTTTGGTTTTTTCCCCCCTATTGCAGGGTTTGGTTGCTTTTGGGGGTTTCCCCCCATTTCCAATGGGTCTTGCACGATCTGCTTGCCTTTTCCTTTGCTTTCTTTGCATTTCCAATAGCTCTTACACATTGTGCTTGCTTTTTGCTTTCCTTTCTTTGGATTTCCGATGGGTCCTGCATGCTTCGCTTGCTTTTCTCTCCCCCCCCCCGCTGGAAGAGATTAATCGCGTTTCCGATGGGTCTTGCAGTGATTTTTTTGCGTGTGGTTTTTTGTATTCTTCGGCTGGAACGGATTTTTTTTTTGGTGATTTTTTTCTGCGGCCGGAACGGATTAATTGCATTTTAATGCATTCCATTCCTATGGGAAATGGTGCTTCAACTAACAAACATTTCAAATTATGACCCGAGTTCCAGAACCAATTAAGTTCATAAGTCGAGGCACCACTGTACATGAAAAAAAAAATCCCCTAAAAATGAGCCACAATGCGTTTTTTGGAGCAAAAATTAATATAAGACCCTGTCTTCTTTTCAGGACAACATGGTAGAACCCTTGATCAAGTTGCTCTCACTCTTGCCATCAGAGGATTCAGGGCCCAACAGGAAAGGACACCCTATTCCTCTCAGTGTCATAATCAAAGGAGGAGGGGAAACCTAACTAACTCAACCATCAGCCATTGAAGAGGCAACAGCGGAGAATGCGATTCGTTCCTCACTGCCAGAAAGAAAATGTAGCTTCCTCAACCAGCTCCTGCTCTAGTACTCCTAAAGCAAGAGGAAGGAACACTCCAACCCATTCATAAGTCTAAAGAACAAGCACTATCGACTGCTATGCAACTGGAAGAACATCAACAAAGCAAGATCATCTTTCATCAAGCTAGGTAGAAATGCATCATTTTGTTCTGGCCTTGGTACTGGGATCTCTCATAAGGTGTGATTTTTTTAAAAAAAATATGGATGTAATTCCCAGAATTCTCCAGTCAGAATTCTAGGAATTCCTCACCACAGACAAACACCTCCATTTCACTCACTGTGAACAGCCCTATTTTCTAAACTGTCTTGAGCCTACTTCGTGCACAAAACTGCTCCAGAGCTTCCTGAGAAGCCTATATGTATGTGGGAGGTGTAGTCTTGCTGCCCTTTAGGTGGTCTCCAAAGAACGACATCTCCCACAAAGACCCAGGCCTCCCAAGAAGCACTGGAGCAGCTTGTTGTTATTTTTTTATAGGACATAGGTCCAAAACAGCCTGGAAGATAGAGCCCGTTCCAGGTGAGTGAAATGTAGGTTTGTGTCTAGGTGGTAGGACCTCCCAGAATTCTGCCCAGGGAATTCTTGTAGAATTCTGAGTTGGAGTCCCCCCAAAGCAAAACAAACTAATGACACATTCCTGGTCTTCCCCACAAACTTTCAATGCATATCCTTCCATTGTATATCTTGTGTTGTTTTCACAAAACTTGGAAAGTAACCATGCCTGCTGAGGGAACCTGAAAGTTATACCCTTAAAGTAACTTTTCCAAATTTTGGATTTACAAGGACCTTTTTACTGATTTTACAAGGACCATTTAGAGAGAGGAGGAAGTTATAGCAGTCATTGGGCAAAATCCTGCTGGCTAAATTTACACAGGTACAACCCAGATAAGACACTGGGACTGTTTAATTTAAACAAACAGAAACCTTCCTATCCCCTACTGCATCTGGAGGTTCCCAAATTCTTCCCTAGCACAAAAGGGAGACTTAGGGAGCCTCAGGAACTGAAATGGGAAAAGAAGCAGCTTTAAATTACTTTTAATGAAATATTTCAGGTACCTGATCCAGGTTACATTGGTGTACATTCATGCTGACAGAATTTTGCCCATTATCATCTAAATAGTTCTTAATAAAAGGTCAAACATACTTCCTTATCATCTTGTTTCTCACATGGAGGACATAATTGTGGTATTTCTTGGGCTGGTTGTTTCTGATTTTCTGTCAACACCTCCTGCTCTTTTTCAGCCACATTTTCTCCCACGTTATCCATCACCATCAACTCTTCTGACCTTTCAGGCACATGTGTAACAGGTTCTGGTCTATGAAGGGTAACAACAGCAAATAAATATAAAATGCTTTTCCAAAGGTATGTAATACTAGAATGCACACAATGGTGTCATATTTGAATTATGGGTAATGGAAAAACAATGATGTTCTTGCTTTAAAATAAATTTTAAGTGATCTAACCACTGGGTTTTATCTACCAAGATAACAATTAGCTACCAAAACCGAACTTATATGTCAAACTAAAATTTAAGGCAAACTTGCTTAGAGAGTAGATATTAATACAGTTATGCATTTTGTCCAGCACCCTTTGCATCACATTAGATTTTACAGAATTTTATTGCTCTCTCTGTTTCTGTTTCAAATTCAAGTGGTGCTTGAAAATCTGCAAGGGCCATGTAGAGGAATAACATACCGTATTTTTCGCTCCATAAGACGCACCTCTCCATAAGACGCATCAAATTTTTAGGAGAAGAAAACAGGAAAAAAAAATCTGTTTTCTTCTCCTAAAAATTGGTGAGCCTTATGGAGAGGTCCATCTAATGGAACACCCCCTAGGACCCTTTGGAGGCCCCCCCTGCCGCCCCCCCCGGGGTCAAAGGGGGCAAAATCGCCACCTTCTGGGACTCTTCTGAAGCTCCCCAAGCCTCAAAAGAGTCCCAGAAGGGGGCGATTTTTCCCCCTTTGACCCCCGGGGGGGGGGGGGCAGGGTGAGCCTCCAAAGGGTCCTAGGGGGTGTTCCATTAGATGGACCTCTCCATAAGGCTCACCAATTTTTAGGAGAAGAAAACAGGAAAAAAAAATCTGTTTTCTTCTCCTAAAAATTGGTGAGCCTTATGGAGAGGTCCATCTAATGGAACACCCCCTAGGACCCTTTGGAGGCCCCCCCTGCCGCCCCCCCCGGGGTCAAAGGGGGCAAAATCGCCACCTTCTGGGACTCTTCTGAAGCTCCCCAAGCCTCAAAAGAGTCCCAGAAGGGGGCGATTTTTCCCCCTTTGACCCCCGGGGGGGGGGGGGCAGGGTGAGCCTCCAAAGGGTCCTAGGGGGTGTTCCATTAGATGGACCTCTCCATAAGGCTCACCAATTTTTAGGAGAAGAAAACAGGAAAAAAAAATCTGTTTTCTTCTCCTAAAAATTGGTGAGCCTTATGGAGAGGTCCATCTAATGGAACACCCCCTAGGACCCTTTGGAGGCCCCCCCTGCCGCCCCCCCCGGGGTCAAAGGGGGCAAAATCGCCACCTTCTGGGACTCTTCTGAAGCTCCCCAAGCCTCAAAAGAGTCCCAGAAGGGGGCGATTTTTCCCCCTTTGACCCCCGGGGGGGGGGGGGCAGGGTGAGCCTCCAAAGGGTCCTAGGGGGTGTTCCATTAGATGGACCTCTCCATAAGGCTCACCAATTTTTAGGAGAAGAAAACAGGAAAAAAAAATCTGTTTTCTTCTCCTAAAAATTGGTGAGCCTTATGGAGAGGTCCATCTAATGGAACACCCCCTAGGACCCTTTGGAGGCCCCCCCTGCCGCCCCCCCCGGGGTCAAAGGGGGCAAAATCGCCACCTTCTGGGACTCTTCTGAAGCTCCCCAAGCCTCAAAAGAGTCCCAGAAGGGGGCGATTTTTCCCCCTTTGACCCCCGGGGGGGGGGGGGCAGGGTGAGCCTCCAAAGGGTCCTAGGGTGTGTCCCAGGACCCTTTAGAGACTCACCCTGCCCCCCTGGGGGTCAGAGGGGGGGAAATTGCCAGCTTCTGGGACTCTCTTGAGGCTTGGGAAGCTTCAGAAGACTCCCAGAAGTTGGCGATTTCGCTAGCGCTGGCCCCGTGCGGGGGTGGAGAGAGCGTCGCAAGGGTCTGAGTGAGCCTTCCCGGACCCTTGCGACGCTCCCCCCCACCTGGAAGCTGGCGATTTTGCCTGCGCTGGCTCTGTGGGTGGTGGTGGAAGCGTCGCAAGGGTCCTGGAAGGCTCACCCGGACCCTTGCGATGCTCCCCCCCCCCACAGGGCCAGTGGGGACGAAATTGCTGCCTTCGCTCCATAAGACGCATAGACTTCCCCCTCACCCACATTTTGGGGGAGAAAAAGTGCATCTTATGGAGCAAAAAATACAGTAGTGGGAGCTTCAATTTCTTTACTAAATGCTTCCAAAAGAAGTAATGGTCAACTACCGATTTGACACATCAGAAGTCCACTTAATCAATATTTTCTGAGTCCACCCAACCTCCCAACTTATCCAAAAAGCATTTCACACAAAACTTACTGACCACATCAAGAACGCTAATAAGTCAATTATTAGGATCAGGTTTTTAAACTTTCTTGGAGAAAGAGACCACAATTGCAAAATGTTAAGCAAAAGCTATATAACATTGATTTGCACATTTCTGTTGTCAGATATGAAATTAATAAGAGTACTACGTGGGGCTCTACGTGGGGCTACCTTTGAGGTTGTATGAACAATAATCCCATTTTCAAATACATTTTAGTTAGTCTTATTACTGTTTTAAACCACTGAATAAATTGATACACTAGCAATGCCACAGGCTTGTATCTCCAGTCTTTAAGATGGGAACAAGGACAACTAATAAATGTGCATCAAAATTTAGGAAGAAAAGTCAAACCAAGCATAGAATGCTTTTGTTTTTTTGAATGCAATTAAGTGGAATGCCAGAACACTTGGATTTGTTTTTGCCTTGTTTTATTACATTTCATGTACAATGTTTTAGTGGTTTTTTTTATTTTAAAGTAATCAAAATTATTTTGGCACATGTAATCTACAGGCATGTAAATGCACATCCTATTGCTCTGTACAAATGGATGCGTCTTGAGAGACAAGACATTTCTGATACTGCTGAACACACAATGTACCTGTTCTCTGGTGCTTGAGAAGTGCTTGTATCTTCACCTTCAGAAACATCTGATTCTTGCATTCTTTTCCCAAACTTTGGATGTTTCAGATGATTGCTTCGTGAACGAGTACAAAGTGGTACAGCATTAAGTTCTAGAGGTGAGGAAGAAAGACAGCTTTAGCTTGGTATTCCGATAAATATCACAGGGCTTGAGGTGTCTCAAAATCAGAAATATTTTTATGGCTTTGAAACAACATCTAAAACTCTGATGTCAGTTCTCAGAAATGTGAAGTATGTTTTCAGCTGTACTTCATATAATTGTTCACACTATTTTGGTACAGACACCCCCAGCTTCAGTGACATCAACATTTCGAACATGCCTTTTTAAGTTTAGTGGGAAATGCCACAAAGAGCTGTGCACTCCACGATGGTCAAATGTGTGTCTAAAACTGTCATTCTTTGCAAAGCAGGTATCAATACCTGCTTTGCAAAGAATGAGATAGAGAGAGGATAGTTCTTAATACCTGCTTTGCAAAGAATGAGACAGGAGTGCACAGCTATTATATACATATAAAACAAGCAGATGGACCTTATACACACTTTTACACACACACACACACACCATGATGTCAAACTTTTCTGTGTTCCTTAGACTAGGAATGCTTTCAGCCCCTATATACTTACTGTGTGAAACACAATCCAAAAGTAGAAGAGATGACAACTTTATTCAGACTGATGAAACTCAAACACTAAACACAAGCTTTCATGAATAAAATTCACTTCCTCAGGTTTAGAGTAAAGAAAAGATATGACTGAAAAGTCCCAAGATGGTCATGGCAGAGATCTCTGCCACCATCATCTTGGGACTTTCATAATTTTTCTACTGTCAGCTTGAGGTCAAATTTATTCACAAAAGCTTGCATCTAATGTTTGATATTTTTTTTCAGTGATCTAAAAATCACTAAAATTGCATAAAGGATCACATGGCTATCCCTGATGTGTGAAACACAGTATATAGAGCAATCCTATGCACATCTACTTAAAAAAAAGTCCTACTGAATTCAGTGGGGATGCTTCCAAGAGAGCAGTGTAGAGATGGCTCATCAAAGGAGATACCAATTGCACAAGCAGTTCTAAAGTTGGAATCCCACATCAACAGCCAGCTTCCTTCTGGATCAGGCCAGAGAAATGTTAATCATAGAGACCTTTTCACTCCTTCCTCACATTCTTCATGTGAGAGAAGCAGGAGAGAAGCAACAGATTCAATCAGTTCCTCAAGCAGACTGCACAGTCCCCAACCAACTTCCCTGTCCCCTTCCACTATCAAGAATGGAATATAAGTTGGGAAAGAAAGGGAAGAGCAAATGGACTGATTCACTTCAGAAATGACAGATCAATGGCTCTTGTGTTTCCTCTCCACTTGCACAAAGATAAAGAGGTGTTGGAAAAGGAGTGAGACCCTTATGGATAGGGACAGACTGGCAGGCCAAACCACTACGAAGAAGCCTAAGTTTTTGTATAAAATATATTTTGCTAGGTGCCAGAGTAAAAGGTGCCAGGAAATAGAAACAAACAGATGGACCTAAAACAGAGGATCTGTCAGGATACATTTAACAAAACATTTTATAATGCTAAACTCATGTTTTATTTCTGAAAAATTATCAGAACATGGCATGCCGTATGAAACAAAATTTCTGCCATTTTGGGTTTCTTTCTTCCTTTTTTTACTACATCTTCCAAAAGCACAGTGAAATAAGTTCAAAAGTGCTCCTTTAACACAAACATATTTCAGCTGTTATAAATAATCTGAGTTTGGTACTGAATCATTTCTGCACAGAAATGTGATTAAAAGTGAAGCACAGAAAAGTTGTAGCACAGCAAAGAGAACTTCAGATATTAGGCTGCAGCCTCTATCAGTTCTAGCCCAAATGGCCAGTGGTCATGCACAAGGGAGTCTGTTTAGCTGTCTGCATCCAGACAACAACATATTCCCCACTGTGTTATCAGCAGATGAAAATGAATTGTAAGATTTAATCTCCCATCTACTGTATAATGTGCACCCTGGATTTATTTTATTTTATAATTTTTTACCTTCTGAAGTCCCTTCACATACATCTGAGCCATCTTTGTTGTTATGAGCATCAACCTAGAAGAGAGAGTCAGCAAGATTTAACATACAAAGACAAACCTCTGGTATATATATATAGAGAGAGAGGTTCACTGTTTTAAGTCATGAACTGTTAATCCTTTACATTTCATCCAGATTTTGGTGACATTAAATGGTTCTGTTATTCACACACTGTGTGAAATTCTGTGGATGTCAATAGGAACAGAGTATATATCCAATGGATGCTCTCTCGCTCGCTCTTCAGTTGTTATCTATGGAACACCATTCTGAAGTAGATCAAAGGTTCCCCAAACTCAGGAACCCAAATGTTCTTGCACCACAGCCCCCAGAAGTCCTCTGTCCCTCCCCTCTTGTGTGTTTGTTTTGCCCTAAAAAGGGGTCCTCAAAGATATCAGTACAAATTCTGTCCCCCCCTCCAAAACTAGAAATGATTTCTGGTCACTTCTAGTTTGCCTCCCCCATCTAAAAGAGTCAGGGCAGTCAAACTGTAGCAACATTGCTCCAACATCACCCAAGAGAAGTGGGGTGTGTGAAAAAAAGGTGCTGGAACAAGAGCAAATTTGAGAGAAGGGAGGGCACAGAAGGCTGGAGTGATATTTTTTGCTAATACTACATGCCAGTTTTTGTCATTTCCTTCATTCACGTAGCAAATGTACATTGTGAGGAAGTGAAACTATTCTCCTATTCTGCCACCTAACCAAACAACTCCATCTCCAATATGGAGCAAGTTCTGCGTAAGTCATGGTAGACTCAGGCCTTACAATCAGGGGAGCACTTGCTTCCCTAAACAGCATCTCTGGGTGTCACAGACTGGACCTACAGCATGTAGGGCATGTTTGCAGGTGCAACATCTGCCACCACTCAGCACTGGCAGCATTCCATGTATCTCTCCCAAGCTTATTTTAGAAGATTACAGAAAAATGTCACTGAAGAAAGGAGGAAAAAACAGGGTTAAAGCTGTTCCTAATTTTTCTATTTCAGTGAAAATGCTGTCGTTTAATTTTATTTTTTTAAAAGGAAACAACTTGTAAGGGGTAATTGCATTTGTCCATTACAGCAAAACAGAGTCTAGTGGCACCTTAAAGAATAACATGTTATATTTGTCATAAGCATTCATGGATTTTTCCTCTTCAAATGCAATTGTTGCTTTTCAGGTGCTGCCATCTATGATAGCTTATGCAAAATAAAACTTGTTAGTTGCTAAGGCGCCACTGGACTCTTTCTGGTTCAAGAAAAACATATGGCAAATAACCTTTGTTTCTTTCAAAACACAAAGTTCCAAAGTGGTACAAAGAAAACAAGTTGTGTACCTACACTTAGCCGTGTTTCAATGGGCTCTGTCGTCTGTTCATTAGTTGTGCCACGGTCCATGGCAGTCTGCAAAAAGCCATCCTCATTTTGAGAGCCATGACTTTCTTTTTCCAATCCTTCTGCTTTCAGCAAGATCCAAAAAGAGAAAATGATAATACATATTTAAAATTTCTACAATACATTAGCAACAATACAGATATCTCTGAGAGCACATGCTTGAGCCCAAAAAGTTTTTGCCCCAAAACCATCATACCTTTGTATTTTGAACTTTCTCTTTGCAATACACTAGCTATAGGTGTTCGCTGGTGCCAGTGGCCTATTCCTTCAACTTCCCATAGAAGGTCATGATCCCCTGGGTACCTTTCAAAGTACTTCTGACAAGCTGGAAGAAAGCATAAAGCACAACAGATTCAGCATACACATAACACACAGTTTTTGCAAGATTCCTTTTCAATCTGCCTTCCCAAGCAAGGAGGTACTTTATTTGAAAAACTATTTTCAAGAGAATGTCACAGAGAAGTAACTGCATCACTAACACACTCATTGCTCTCTAATTTGGAGCTTTTTCCTTTTCTTATTTTTTACTGTCTACTTCCTCAGATAGCACAATTTTATGAAGAGCACTTAACAAGTCTCAATAAGCCTACATCTATAATATCTATCATTTTTGCCTGTATAAACAGTGGCATCATTGTTTGAAGTACACTTCTCCTTTCAACAATGCTGGGTGGCGTTAGGTGTGCTGAGCCATTGTGTGGTTCAAAATTTGTATAGAACTCTTATGCCCCAAAAACATAACTACAAAGGATAAATAGTTAATTCACAGAGAGGGAGAGAACAGTTCTTTCTATTGGAGTTCTCTTCCATAACACTGACAATCCTTTCCACACATTACTGTGTGTAATGAGGCTGAATTAGAGGTTTTGTGTTTGAGGGCCAAGCAGACCACTTGCCCCCAAACACAACATCTTCAATTTGTAGCCCTCAGATGTTTCATTTGGGGTGGGGTGGAGTCAAATAAGGAGGACAAGACTGGCGAGCTGCAGTATGCCTTTCAACTTCTGGAAGCATCCTAGAGTCCAAGAATCTAGCTGCTTAAGGCAGACTACAGCTCTTATCTAAATTCCCTGAGTTTGTATTTAAATGTACATAAGGATACAATCAAGGCTAAGACGAATAAAAGTATCAAGAATAGGAAGGAATGAAGGTGTTTCATTGCAACACAAACATCCATTCTCTCAACAAAGCCAGGATGCATGTTTATTGATGGTCACTGTTAAAATTGTGATCACTTTCTGTATTTTTTGCACTTTAACTCCTTCTCATCCCAATGATTACATCCAGTGTAGACTCGCCCTCCCACCTGAGCTAAGAAAGGGCACAAGAATGACAATACCCTACACGCAGGATGAAGTAGGGTGCTGTCCCTAATATCTTATGCCAACCAAGATTTACAAATCAGTTATAATGGAACTGTTAAAACAGTGAACACTTTCTGTATTTTTTGCACTTTAACTCCTTCTCATCCCAATGATTACATCCAGTGTAGACTCGCCCTCCCACCTGAGCTAAGAAAGGGCACAAGAATGACAATACCCTACACGCAGGATGAAGTAGGGTGCTGTCCCTAATATCTTATGCCAACCAAGATTTACAAATCAGTTATAATGGAAATTGTAGCACAACCGTATCTGGAGGATCACACAATGCTGCTGCCAGATCAACAGAAGGGCTTACCAGAATGCATGAAAGATGTAAGTGGAAACCTCAGGCCTAGCGCATCTTCTGTGAAAGAGTCCACAAAATCTTCCAACATCAGTAACCCAAAATCCTTCCCTCGATGTTTCTTCCTCACAAACATAGTGTCCAGGACTGGAAGCTGGTAGCTCTGGGTAAGAAAGGCACTACATATGCTTCCTGCAATCATAACAGCAACTCTGATTAGCATGCCTTGCCAAATTTATACTTTCGGTGTACCGATGGCAATATTTAAAAGAAAACTAGGTAAATCTTTCAACATTTTTCAGAACCATTCTATATCATCTCTAAAATTACAGTTTGGATGGCCCAAGTCTCCACAACTTATATTATTAGATATACCTACTAAAAGTGTTAGCAATTTTTCTTGACCCATGTCAAGAGGTTGAAAAAATGGGGGGGATCATGGACTTTTGCTCTTCTGGAAAAAACAGACTTTGTAGTCAGTGCCTGGGACAAGCCGACTGAGAAAAGGTGGGGGGCGATGCCACCACCTTCTGGTAATTAGAAGGCAGTAACACCTGCAGCTGATTAGTGTGAGAAAAGAAAGGTGGAATTGAGCTTACTTTTTAATACTAGGCTAATTAGGAAAATAGTTCCAGGTGAATGAGTGGAGGAGAAAGAAGTTACTCTCTTCTTCATGAAAGTTCAGGAAACTCAGCACCTGACTGGCAAATCTTCTGGAGGAAGCTGGAACTTTGGGCATAAAAATGGAGATAGAAATTACTTTACTTGGCCTAATTATGTCATGGGAGAATGCTATGCTCATTTGCCACCTGTTGCAAGATATATAGTGTGTTTATGCTCTGATACTATTTAAAGTTATGCTAAGATGTAAGTATTAGAACAGGTTAGCTTGCTTTCTTGTGGGCCTATTCTGCAATTACTCTTGCCTCAACATTTTGATTGCTTATTTGCTCCACAGCCTTGGTCTGCTTCTGTGACTGTAGTCACATTTTTGGAAGTGCTGCTCTTTAAAAAAAAATCCCCAACATTTTTAATAAAATATATTTTTTCACATTGATGAATGCTTTTGGATTAAGAGGGTTGGTGGTACTTAAAACCAGAACTTACATTGACCATGTACCAAAAGCCTATGTGCTAATAGGTATATTTGTATTCCTACCCTATAGTGTTGGTATGAGAGTCAAAGCACTTAAACTTGTGGGTTTTTGGTAATTCCCTAAAAGCACTGATTAGTTAGACTGACTCATACAGTTGCCAGGCAGAAAGATTCCCCATGCATATTTGGTTCGCCAGGACTTCACTCATACCAGGACTATCAGGGTAGTCTGACTGAGTAGTTAGTGCAGGCCTCCCTGATCAGGAGGAACCTTGACAACCTTCTCTAACGTTATCACTTCACAGACATACAAGCTTTGACTGACTCAGTCTTCCATTACTCTCCAAATTCAAGTTGTATCCAAAAGATTACCATTCTGCCTTAACATTACCAAGAGTTAACTTTCTCCCCTTTCCATTCTTGCAGTAAATAGTCTGGTTCAGGAATTGTCAGGCTGACAGTGTCCTCCCAGGTAGCAAACATAGGGTGCAACTAGGGGTAGCAAACCATGGCAAAAAATGTGTCTAAAATGACCTACAAGAGCCTTAAACTCACCACCTCCAGTGTCTTATGAGGTGATAATGGGACCTGCTTGGGCTTGTCAACTTGGGACAATTTTATGAGATCTAGGTAAAGGTAAAGGTCCCCCTTGACATTTAGTCCAGTCGTGTCTGACTCTAGGGTGAGGTACTCATCTCCATTTCCAAGCCATAGAGCCAGCGTTTCTCCAAAGACAGTTTCTGTGGTCACGTGGCCAGCATGACTAGACATGGAACGCTGTTACCTTCCCACCGTGGTGATACCTATTTATCTATTTGCATTTTTACATGCTTTCGAACTGCTAGGCTGGCAGGAGCTGGGACAAGCGACGGGAGCTCACTCCGTCACATGGATCCGATCTCATAACTGCTGGTCTTCTGACCTTGCAGGACAGAGGATTCTGCTGTTTAACCCACAGTGCCACCACATCCCTATTTATGAGAACTAGAGACATAATTTTAAAAATTAGCTATAAAGCATTGACATCCACTGGAAGCTCTGCATGTGTGTGTACTCTGAAATGTATACTTATTCACAAAGGCCAAAATTATTAATTCCTTTCTGCCATCTGCTTATTGCCTTCCCTCAAGAATTGGCAAGACAGAGCAGAATGGAACTCCATCTGGCCAGATATCAAGTTTCCAACAATCATCAAGACTATATAATTTGCTGCTCTTGACAACCAATTTCCTTAGAAATTAATCTACTGAGTCCAAAGAGAAAACAACATTGACAAATTCGCTATGGTGTCACAGACTTCCACTATATGCTTGTGATCCAACAGTTATTATACATTTTAAAAAAAGAAACAGTTGAGTATCCTCAAGTTCACAAAGAGAAAGGGAAGAGCAATCCTGCTCCAGGCTCCTTCTAAGGGAGGATTTCTGTAACATTTCACATTTTCTCTGCAACCTACATTTGAATCCATAAGCAAGTTCAAATATGTTTACAAGTAATTCAAACCCACCCATAAACTAAAACATAGGCTGCAGAAAAAATACATGTCATAGAAATCCTCCCCTTAGTATAACTAGTTGTGTTTCTGCTTGTCTCTTATTTTCTCTTTTACAGTTCATGTGAAAGTTACTACAGAGGAGCAGCTGTAATGAAAAGCCAGTCCATCCACTAGAAACACATTTACTTACATAGAACTGTATCAGCCTGCCACATCACCAATAAAATAAAAACACAAAGGTAGTCATAATAGACAGTGTTCCTGACCATGTTTGACACAGACCAGGCCTGAACAAAGCATGACTCTCCACATGCTGGTAGGACTGCCATTCCTATCCCATCCTATTTCCAGCATAGCCAATGGTGAGAAACTGTCAGGAGATGCAGTCCAACAAGTCAAAGAAAACTGTGCTGTGCGCACTTCAGTAAAGGCAACACTGAGCAAGATGGATTAAGGATCTGACACATATCCTTAATCTTCCTGCAACTGTGCAACCCTAAAGATGTTCATGAATGAACCATGAACTCAATTGTCATCAGCTGATAATTTTTAAATGGTCTCATTTCTCCCTCTTTATATTACAATGCAACCTTATCTGTCGGCCTATCTTACCTGGAAGCTTAACAGAATAAAAGCCAATTGCCTCTCCTTTCTTCCAAAGAATTTTTGCATAATCATGGCTACCATGACAAAGGAATGGAAACTCATTTTTCTCAATTTCTTGTTTGCGATATATTATTCTGTTCAGCACATAAAGAACTACTCTCTCTCCAATGGACTTCACCTGTGTAAGACATACATGAAAATATAGACAATGCTGTTATTAAAGAAGCACCGAAGCATTTGTTTCAAAACTGACACATGCTTACTGAAGCAGATAAAATTGGTATTTCTCCTTCTAAGGTAATAGTAGTAGAAATGTGCATCTAAAGCTGTGTACAGTTTAGGAGTGATAGATTTGTGTTTTTTTTTTATTTGTTTTGATTAGGTCAAGCCACCTTGAATTATTTTGGAAAGGTGACATACAAAACATAATACATATGGCATGAAATAATGCATTAGATGAAATCTTGTAAGGCATGCAAACTCTATGAGCAGCATTTGAAATGGCTTAGCCATTATAACACTTTGTACAGAACTGCAAGACCCACTGTTTGGGAGAAGAGAATGTTTGACAGAGTCCCACCTCTCTACAGAAAACAATCATTTTTCCAAGATTCTTTAAATCAAAGCCAGGCCAGTAAGCCATCTTACACCTGTAACATTCAAATGATTATAGAAGAATGCTTCTATTAAATGTTTTAAAATCCATAGGGCTTGTAGTCCAAACATGAACCAGAATTAAATAAAACACAGCACAGGTACATACTCAATTCTATTCCAAGCAAATACTCAGAATACACTTCACATTTTCCCTGTCTCAGTTAGAAGACCTGGAGAAGCCAACAACAGCAGAACCCCTCCGGAACACTTACCCGTAAAACACCTTCTCTAGAAGGAGCCGATGTTCTCAAAATATCATCAATAGTCCACCAGTGATCAGCAAGAAAGAGGGCAACAGCTCCAATGAGAAAAGCAGAATGATGAAGTTGATGAGTATTAAGTTTTCTATGCTTAATTGTGTCAAATAAACTTATTCAGTAAGACAAATACTCCTTTGTGTAATTAACAGAGCCATTTTTATTGTAGGTTTGAATACCAAATACATCTTGAGTGCACTCACCCACAAATAACATGACTATCTTAGGAAGCAGTGGATCTGTCATTTCTTTTAAAAAGGCAACAACAATACAATGTCACATTTCCAGCTCATAATTTCGTATTATTCTCCCATGGAAGCATTTATGAGTTCTACATACAAGATATGTCAGCCCTTTGCAAACAAATTAGAAAATAATAAGCCAAAGCTTATTCTTTAAATGTTAAAATTACATCCCATTCTTTGCCTGGGAGCTGGGAATTGTTTCAACCTGTCACTAAGAGCATGAAAACATTGGAACCAGGTGGTTCTCCCTTGAAAGAGCACCCTATAACTGAGGGGTCACAAGTGACAAAGTCCTCTTCCTTGTCACCTCGCTTCAAGCCTCTCTCAGAAGAGATATGCTGAGGTTTTGGCCAAAAGCCATCAGTAAAAGGGACAGTATGAAAAGACAGAAGGCTCACTTCACAATAATATGGGAAAATAAATGGCCTTTTTCAGATGCAACAGCAAACTATGACCTAGCACTCTTTCTGTCTGCATAATCTGTGGAAAGGGTATGACAGCATCATACTTTCCAGTGGCCTCTATGGCAACTCATAAAGCCATCCAAGTGACAATGACAGACAGATCGTTAGGTAAGCCCGAACATTACAATTTGGGCTGGGAGAGGCTTTCTCCTCACAACCGTTCTATATCTTAAGTAATCATGGTTTTTAAAACTTCACTTGCATTGCGAACATTCATGGGTCTTAAAGCATAATTACATTAGATCTTAAAACCAAGGACAAGATATAACACAGATACAGAAGAAGAATGGTTCAGATACGACAATAGAAATTTAAGTGAAACCTGCTAGTGAATCCTCTGGTGCAAACAAAGCAAGGACTTTGTGTCTTTCTTCTCCGCCATAAATAGGAACGAAGCCTACTGTTGATAAGCATATTGGAATCTAGGAAAGGAGAAAAAACAATTTGCCAATTTTCAATTTTCTTTTTTTGTTGCTAAAACTCGCTAGCGCAGTAACACATTGAAATACGCTACAGAAAAGAGATCAGGCTTTTTTGTCCAAATGCAGCATTGAAAAGTTAAAAAGCCTACACAGAACAGTAGACACCAGCCTTCCTTTTGTTTTGCTGTGTATCAGTTTAGCAAGGAGTCAAGGCTATAATTCAGGAATAAAGATTTAGCTGTTGAAGTGCGGGATTAAGAAGACAAAAAGAAAACAACAGTTCTTCTGTGCTGTTTTCTTTTCTTTTCTTTTTTTTTTTTTAGGAGGTGCCAAACAAGAGTCAAGACTACATACTCTCTTCATCTCTATGGCAATGTGTAGCAGTAAGAAACTTTAGAAAACATAATTTTTAAATCTAAACTTTTACAGAAAGTCTATAGGAAACAGAAATATAAAATAGCAAATCAGCAAGTACTTTGTTAAATCTTACTTTGACATTATTGCCAAGAGACAGAAATTCTGGGTTTTCTGGATCTGCACACCTAAGGTCAGAAAGATAATCATCTCCAGAACTCTCCAGATCTTCATGGCTGTAGTTATCTAGAAGGTCCACAGGGAAGGCCATCCCCTAGAAATAAACCACACAGGCTTCTGTAGTAGGCACACAAAAACATTAGAATGCAACTATTATTTTTGAAATGCCACACACCTTAAGGCTATCAATTCAGTGGAGTGCTGGGAATCAATGCAAATCTTTTCTTTAGGCACTAGTCAAGAAAAAGAAGTTTGTCTACACACAGGTGAAAGTACACTGTTGCTCGTGCAGGAATGTGTCTCTTTTAAAAGTCCCATCCATAAATACAGAAGCAAAGTCTCTCTAGAAAGGTGGTGCTTTGTTATGTGCTTTATGTGCGCACAAGAGAAGCCCATCAGCCAGACTGGCCAGACTCCATACGTAAAAGGAAAAGAGAGTAAAGCTTCCTGTTCTGACCACCAAATGCTAAATGTAGCCTTCCAGATATTGTTGAACTACAAATTCCATTGCCCTTGCCAGCACAGTTAACAATGCTGGTCGTAACAGACCAACACAATCTGGAGGGCCACACTTTCCCTACCCCTGTGCTAAACATGAACTGAGCAGAAATCTGTGAGTTCATAATGGAAAATGAAGCATCAAAATGCTTAAGGCTCTAATCAAAATATCAGCTAACCGTTCCTGTCACCATCCACTGGTCTGCAAGCTATGAATACTCCCGGGTATGGAAAACCTGGTCGTAGTCGTAACCTCCCACTAAAACTACTGCAATGAACTCTACATAGGGCTACCCTTGAAGATGAAATGGATGCTGCAATGTGCAGTACACAGTAGCTAGGCTACTAACAGAAGCACTTCTGAAGGATTTGCACTAGCTGCCAAAATGCTTCTTGTCTGAGTTCAAGATTTTGACAGTAACTTACTTATAACAGTCTAAATAGTTTGAGGCATCAATACTTGAAGGAGCATCTCTGTATAAACCTGCTTGATTGATAAGATCTGCTGTGTCCCACCAGTGAGAACCATTCGAAAGAACTCTGATTAGAAAAAAGACAGGAAAAAAAATCTGAGGTAGAGAGGGAACTACTCGCTGTTACTGACTTGACTACCATGTACCTGAGTCCAAAAAGGTTCCTCCCAGCTAAAATCACTCAATGTCATCATATGTAGGTTACAATACAGCCAACAACAACAACACCCCTTGTTATTTTCAGTATCTCCTGCAAGTGTGAACTCATTCGCAGCTTTGTTGTTGTTGTTTAGTCGTTTAGTCCGACTCTTCATGACCCCATGGACCAGATCACGCCAGGCCCTCCTGTCTTCCATTGCCTCCCGGAGTTGGGTCAAATTCATGTTGGTAGCTTCAATGACACTGTCCAACCATCTCGTCCTCGGTCGTCCCCTTCTCCTCTTGCCTTCACACACTCAGTCTTTTCCAGGGAGTCTTCTCTTCTCATGAGATGGCCAATGTATTGGAGCCTCAGCTTCAGGATCTGGCCTTCCAGTCAGCATCCAGGGTTGATTTCCTTTAGAATGGATAGGTTTGTTCTCCTTGCAGTCCAGGGGACTCTCAAGAGCCTCCTCCAGCACCACAATTCAAAAGCCATCAATTCTTTGGCAGTCAGCCTTCTTTATGGTCCAGCTCTCATTTCCACACATCGCTACTGGAAAAACCATAGCTTTGACTATGCGTACTTTTGTTGGCAAGGTGATGT